AGCTTATATAGAAGGTGGAGACGCTGTCTGGCTTTTATTGTAAATACAGTACAGTCAGTTTTGGGCTGAAAGGTCAACTTGTTATCAGTTACTATCCTGAGGTATTTAAATTGGTATGGTATAATGGTATGGTTTAAAGTTTATTCATTTTACAAATAAAAAACAGTTGCATAACTATATTAAAAAATACAGGAGATTTAAAATGAAAGGCAGCAGAAAGAAGAAAAAAATCATTATATTTGCCCCTTTTTTCAAACAATTAGTTCAATCATAATCATGTTCAAGTCACAGAACAAAATGAATAACTCTTTCTAATTTTCCTAATTCTAATACAAAATTCGATCACATGCTCTACTTCCTGTTCCTGCTCTTTTATAACTGAAGGTCTGAATACAGGTCTAGTGCTGGCTGCTCCTCATCTACCTCCCAGACAAAGCTCCGTGATTTTACTGACATTAAGGTCCAGAAAAACATCATCAAACCAGGCAGAGAGCTGATCTATGAGCTGGGAGTAAGAGGGGCTATTGGTGATTTTCAGACACCAGTAGCCCCTGAATTTGTTTTCAGTGTTTTTTGCAGCCCACTGAATCTGTATTTCAGAATATGAGATGGCAAATGAAAGCCGTTATCCTTCTTCTTTGAAAGCCTTATTGTATTCAGCTCCCCATTTCAAAACAAAAGATTGAGAATCTAGTAGTCTCTCATTCTGTTAAAATATGGTTGTAAATAAGAAAGCATTATGGACAGACATCAGTTTTTAACCCATTGATTAAAAAAATTCATACATTCCCTCCATCAGTTGCAAACACGCCATTTTATCAGTGGAATCATAAAGGAATTCAATGTAGGACTTATTTACTGAAAATACTTTCCTTACATTTCGGCAATTACAGAACAAATTCAAACTATAATTGTTTTTTTAATTCTTACAGATCCAAAGTTGCGTAAAAAAGCCTGTTTCCGTCCTTCCCCAGTCAACCTCCAGACTCTACAACGGAGAAGGTGATTAGCTTTGCTCCATGTAATAACGGTTTGATAACACAGATATATAATTTGCTCTCACGAGAGGACTCAGGTCCTGCATTAAACCATCTGAAAAAGGCAGGAAGACCTGGGAGTGATTATTACAATCAGTGGTCTAAAGTCCAAGGATATGTTCATTCTACTTCTGTATGTATTAGACATGAACATTTGGTTCAAGGGTCTACATAGATTGCATTTATCTAAATTGAAACTGATAAAGATGTTTCCTCTGTCGATCCTTCTTGTGATAGATGTACATGGGGACCAGCCTCACTAACACACGTTCTGGAACTGTCCTTATATCGCAACATTTTGGAACAAAGACCAGACCCAATTTTGGCTCTGTTTGGTGTGAGGCCAATTCCTGTACAACCGTCAGATACCCAGAACAGAATGATTCATTTTGTGACCCTGATGGCATGGAGGCTGATTTTGTTATGTTGGAAACAGAACACACACACACACACACACATCGCCGCCACCGGGCTTTAATGAAAGACATCATGGGAGATTTAAAATAGGAGAGAATTAAATATTTATTAAGGGGGAAATCTGACATGTTTCACTTAGCTTTGCAGTCTTTAATGAATTATTTCAGTACAAATATATAACTCATTAATATGGTACAACGATGGATATGTTATCCTCTGATGTTTGTTTCGTTGTTGATTGCATGCACTTTTTGTATCTATTTTGAAAAGAAAACCATAATTAAGAGAATTTTTAAAAAGTGTCACTAGAACCTGATTTGTATTTGGACTGTTTTTGTGTCTACACTGGTCCCGTTAGACCTCAGTTCTGCATTTGATACAGCTGATCACAATGTTCTACTACAGAGGCTTGAATATGACATTGGGATTACAGGAACGGCTCTAAAATTATTTAAATAATTTATTTGATAGTTTCCAGTTTGTCCACATTAATAGGAATTTTCCAACTCCAGAGTTACTCATGGAGTTCCTCATGGATCAGTGCTTGGACCCATACTCTTTACTTTATATATGCTTCTGTTAGGTAAAGTTATTAAGCAGCATGGGATAAATTTTCATTGTTATGCTGATGATACACAGTTATATTTGTCCATGAAACCTGACGAATGAAATTAAACCCTAATGATTATAAATAATACGAGTAAACACATCAGTTCTTGTTAAGACAAACAAAATCTGTTGACAGGTGAGTCCTACAGAGGCAGAGAGGGAGCTGTACTGAGCATGTGACTCCTTAGCTCTAACACATTTCGTTAATTTCTTGGAAGCTAGTTTGGATAAAAGCAGCTGGAATGTAAATTTTATACAAATGCTGGGTTTGGTAAGTCAAAGGCTTCATAGGGAACTGCATTAATGATGTTGTGCCTAAAACCTCCATCTGCACTTACTCTAACCAGAAACCATGGGTTGGGCCAGAGGTTTGTGCTAAACTTAAAGCATGCACCGCTGCCTTCAATTCTGGAGACCCAGAGGCATACAAAGCAGCATTACGGCCTCAGGAAGACCGTGAGGACTTCTTAGAGGAAATACAGGGAACATGTGGAATCTGCCCAACAGAGCAACGACCCAAGGCGCATGTGACATGAACTACACAGCATCACAGACTACAAGATAAGGAATGTCTGTGGAACTGACCAGCGCATCATTTCTGGACGAGCTCAACACCTTCTACGCTCAGTTTGATGCAAACAGCACCAGACATGTCACCAGACCACATGTGGACAGTGAGGATACCACACTCTGTACAGACACTGCTACAGTGAGATGAACATTCAAAAAGGTAAACCTTTGCAAGGCCCCAGGGCCTGATAGCATCTCAGGATGAGTGCTGAGCTTCTGTTTAAATGTGCTCTATAAATAAAGTTGACTTGACTTGACAGAGTGTGTGCTGAACAACTCACCAAGGTGTTTACCAACATATTTAACCTATCTCTGAGTCAGTCTATTGTGCCCACTATCTTCAAGACATCCACTGTTTCCCCATCCCAAAGACCTCTGCAGCATCCTGCCTTAATGACTTTCGACCCATAGCCCTCACATCTGTCATCATGAAGTGCTTTGAGCGAATTATCAAGACTCACATCTGCATCTCCCTCCTCGACGCACTGGACCCCCTACAGTTCGCATACAGAACAAACAGGTCTACAGATGGCACTATTGTTTTAGCAGTTCACACTTCCCTCAGCCATCTGGAGAAGGAAAACACCTATGTGAGAATGCTCTTCACTGACTACAGCTCAGCATTCAACACCATAATCCCCTCCAAACTTGTCTCCAAGCTCACCACAATAGGCCTGGAGAAGTCCATCTGCTGCTGGATTCTGGACTTCCTCAACAACAGAACACATGCAGTGAGAATCAGCAGTTACCTTTCCTCCACTCTAGTCCTCAGCATAGGTACACCTCGGGGCTGTGTCCTCAGTCCACTCCTATACTTACTATTTACACGACTGTATCCCCAAGCACAGCTCAAACGTCATCCTCAAGTTAGCTGATGACACCACCATCTTGGACCTCATCACCAACAACGATAAGAGTGCCTACAGAGATGAAGTGAAATCACTGACCAGCTGGTGTCAGGAAGTTAGCCTCTCTCTAAATGTCAACAAAATGAAGGAGCAATGTCTGCATAAAGCAAGCAGCATCATTAAGGACCACACCCACCCAGCACAAGGACTCTTCCATCTACTACCTTCAGGCAGATGACACAGGAGTCTGTCATCGAGAACAAAAAGACTAAAGGACAGCTATTACCCACAAGCTGATTATTGAACTTGATAATAATACTCAGTTTCCCCTATATAACTTGCCATGGCGGGACACTCATCTTGTCCGTGACGTGATGGGGTGGGGAGACACGGGGGGGGGGGGGGGGGGTGTTCAGTGTGAGGGAAGAGCCTTAAGTTTTTCTTAGCTTGCACGTTGGTCTGTATTGCTGCGCCTCTAGCTTAGCACTATGTCAGTGCCAACGGGTGGGGGTGGGCCACAAAGTTCAGTTCGGTAGACCTTGCGGTCGGTTCTGTTGACAGCGTGGGGCGCCACGCTTGTATGATGGTAGGGGAAACACTGATACTGAACTATTGACAATAACATTGCACTAAGCCTCGTCTGTGACACCCAATATGTTTATTGCTGCTGCACTATGTGGCTGTATCATGTATGTGTCATGTATGTCATATCATAATAATAATAATAATAATGTCATCACAATGTCAGCACTGTATGTTTGCATACAATGGCGAAATTAGTCTCTGCATTTAAACCATCCACCACCAGGTGGTGCAGTGGGCAGCTATTGAAAGCACCCGAGGGGGGGCATTTTGGGGATGAGGTGTGCTGCCCAGAGACACCACGTGATGTGCAGTGACTGGGGATCGAACCTGGAACTTTCGGGTCCCAAGCCGGCTGCCCTGCCCGTACACCATCTCGGCCCCCATGCCGCGTATGTCACTACCATACCATCCTAATTCAATTAATCTCAAAGTTAATCACTACCTGTGCTATAACCTGTCACATAAACTGTGTAGTTTATGTTAGTTATGTACAATAAGTGCATTTAAGCTAATATTACTACCTGTGAAATACTTATTCATACAAATTCATCCTACTTGCACTGTTATATTCTACCATGTTGTTGTTTACTATTTTTATTTTGGACCTTGTAAATATTATATTTCTTTTTCCACTTTCTGGTACTTTATTTTGTACTCTTATTGCATGCTTTAGCATTTCTTGTTTGTTTGTTTTTAGCGAGTCAAATCGGTTCTTCTCGTCCTGAACATTTCATTGCATTGTTGATCTTGTGTTGACCTGCATGTGACAAACAACATAACCAAGTTCCAAGTTGTTTTTAGCTGAATCAGGTAAAACTCATGCAAGTTCATCGTCTGAAAGCAGTCAAGAGAAGTCTGTAAATATTTCAGGGTTTCAGGTTGTCAGAACAAAAGTCACTGATAAGTCACACCCAGCAGGTGTCGGGTTACTCACGGCTTCTCCAGACTTTTCCAAGAACCCTTTAAGTTTCCAATGAACCTGCAGACAGAAACAAACTCACATGAGGTCGTGGACGTGTTCTGATGAAGGAAAGCCTCAGATGAATAAATATGGGGCGAAACTACGTAAATAAAAAAAAGGAACCAGTGAACCTGAAAGTGATAAAACATTCATTCAGTTTACAGGTGCAGCTGAAAACTGACGTCACATAATATGTTTGTGTTGAAATGATCAGCAGTTATCAGAGCTGAACGATTGTCAAATCAGTGGATTCCGCTGCTTTAGTACTTTCTAACCGGACCTTCAATAGAAAAAAATAAATAAAATCAAGGTTGATTCTGACCTGCCTCGAGCAAAAACATCCTGTTGTGTTACTTTTGGTGTTTGTCATAGATTCAACTAAAGAAATGGGAACAGATTGTTTCTTTGTGACTAAAATAATCTACACATCCACTTCAGACTTCGGTTCTCTTCTATCTGAACAAGATCAGAAATAAAAACATTAATCTAAAAATATTCTGGAACAAGCTGGTGAGGATTCTCTGTCATCCAGGACATGGTAAATAAAAAAAAAAGTAAAAAACAACTGGACTTTATTTGTAACTGAAGACGATTCGCTTCTCATCCGAGGAACTTTCTCAATTCAAAGAAACAACATGGCTTTATTGTTTTTAATCCAAAACAGCAAATTATGACTTTTTACTTGTTCTTGTGGGATGACGTTATGTATTTTAATTATGGAGGAACACAGAACGGAGCAGTGAGGTCATTTTAAGTACTTAAAGACAAACAAAAGTCCTGAGCGCTGCCTTCTGGGAGGAAAACGTGTTCATGCTTTACACTGGATCATGTTTGTCAGGCCTGGATGCTGCTGTGAGAAACAAGAAGTCGATAACATGTGATCCAGAACGGGATGTATGGAGGACGGAATGAGACAAAATGAAATTAATAAAAACACAATAATGAAAATTAATCATTTAATTATTAAATACATAATTAAATCATAAAATTATTAAATACATCATTAAATATGCAATTAAATTATTAAATACACAATTAAATGATTTATTTCATGATATAATTATTTATTTCATGATTTATTCAATTATTTAATTTTGTCACATTCCACCCTCGTGTGTCACCATGAAATTATGTTAACTGTCAGTTTCACTCATCAAACTCAGTGGGCGGGATTAGGGCGGGACTAACACTGAACATGTGAAATCCTATATTGTTAGATAATAATAATAATAATAATAATAATAATGTCATCACAATGTATGTTTCCATACAATGGGGAAATTAGTCTCTGCATTTAACACATCCACCACCAGGTGGTGCAGTGGGCAGCTATTGAAAGCGACTGGGGGGCATTTTGGGGATGAGGTGTGCTGCCCAGAGATACCACGTGATATGCAGTGACTGGGGATCGAACCTGGGACTTTCGGGTCCCAAGTTGGCTGCCCTGCCTCTACACCATCTCGGCCCAGCCATAAGTGTTTCACGAGCATTACCCCAAGTTAGTATATTTCTTACCTTGCAAACAGACAGAGGTTTGCGATCCATACTGCTGCAACGGGCCGTAGGTCTGACTCTGTGTAGCCTCAGAGAGCTTCTTTGTTTAAATTTGCTGCTACTCGTAAAAGCGCGTCTTCTTCTTTACATTCATAGTATGAAAAAAGGTTTCATCCAAATACACGTAAACACAATTACCACTTCCTAAAGTTTTGGAATATATTTTCTGGCTGTGGATCAATCCGTTATCTGTGCTTTGCTTCTTGTGAGAAGCAGCCAATCAGGTGTCAGGGTTAGGGTTAGTCCTGCCCACTGAGTTTGACGAATGAGGCTGACAGTTAACATAATTTTATGGTGTCACTGGAGGGTGGAAGGTGACAAAATAAATAAATAAATCACAAAATAAATAATTTAAAAAGGTACATTTCATGATTTAATGGTGTATTTAATAATTAAATGATACATTTAATTGTTATGTATGTATTTATTTCATTTTGTCAAATTTCGTCCTTAATAAAGATGAAGGTCCGGGTAGCTCACAGCATCAAGCAGGTAGGACATGCCTCAGTAATGAGCAGGTGAACTGAGGGGGCGGAGTTACCTGTCGGACGAGTGGATGTAGAAGGACAGGGCTCTGTGGAAAACAGATCAACAGACAACTTAATTAATTATTAATATCAACTATTCGCTGCAGGAAGTCAGTGTGCAACCTCCCATTTAGTTACGCTACACTGAAATGTTTCTAAACAAAATGCGACATCAACCGCTGCCAACTTATTTTTTTGACTGACAGCTCTTAGAATAAATCTGTTTACTTTAATCATGTGGGTTGGATGAATTTACTGACTGTTGGCTGTGAGGCCAATCTGCATTTCAGCAAAACACTGAACACAAGTGTGTGGGGCACTCAGGTCAGAGCAGACAGACAGGGCGTAGACTCTGAAGGGTAGACTGGGAGGGTAGACTGGGAGGGTAGACTCGGAGAGTAGACTCAGAGGGTAGACTCGGAGAGTAGACACGGAGAGTAGACATGGAGAGTAGACGCAAAGAATAGACTCTGAGAGTAGACCGGGAGAGTAGACATGGAGAGTAGACGCGGAGAGTAGACTCAGAGGGTAGGCTCGGAGAGTAGACTCGGAGAGTAGACGCGGAGAGTAGACACGGAGAGTAGACGCGGAGAGTAGACTCGGAGAGTCGACTCGGAGAGTAGACATGGAGAGTAGACATGGAGAGTAGACACAGAGAGTAGACGCGGAGAGTAGGCTCGGAGAGTAGGCTCGGAGAGTAGACTCGGAGAGTAGACGTGGAGAGTAGACACGGAGAGTAGACGCGGAGAGTAGGCTCGGAGAGTCGACTCGGAGAGTAGACTCGGAGAGTAGACGCGGAGAGTAGACGCGGAGAGTAGACTCGGAGGGTAGGCTCGGAGAGTAGACTCAGAGGGTAGGCTCGGAGGGTAGGCTCGGAGAGTAGACTCGGAGAGTAGACTCGGAGGGTAGGCTCGGAGAGTAGACTCGGAGGGTAGGCTTGGAAAGTAGGCTCGGAGAGTAGACTCGGAGAGTAGACTCGGAGAGTAGACTCGGAGAGTAGACTCGAAGAATAGACTCTGAGAGTAGACCCGGAGAGTAGACTCTGAGAGTAGACCCGGAGAGTAGACATGGAGAGT